TGCACGGGTCAGTGGCTCGTTTCGTCTTCCAATTGAGTTGTCAAAGCTTCCAAGAATGAAATTCAAATTAGTCGTGCACCGATGAAAGACCGTAAAGCCCACGCACATTCCCCATAACTGAATAGTCTTTAGTTTGACCATGTCATTTTCGAAATTAAATGAGTTTGTGAAAGGCGGTTGGTCTTAGACTATTCATTCTATGCTCGGTCACTTTGAGCCTTCTCAAACCTTGTATCTTTTTTTCAAGGCCAATCATCCTAAATGGGGTAGTATTGTTTCCGAACTGCTCAAAACCGGATATTCCCAACCTCGTGCTGGCCACAATGCGGGCGACCACCCTCCCATAGCGCCGATGCGTCTCGCTCTTGACCTCTCGGGCGACGCTGCTCGCATCTATGATTACGTAGCACAACACTTCATCGCCACTGTGAGTGATGCTAGTCTCATCGCACAACTACCTCTTTTTGCAGTAGACTTCTCTATTCTGCCATTTTTATTCAAACTCACTCACTCATGCCTGTGGTTAAATGTCTGTAAGACCATTGCTTCAAGGAGTGAAATCAGAAAATTGGTGTTGTAATTTTTCTCCGAACCAGGTTTACTCTGCACTTAAAATTTTGTACGCAGTATGTACACTTAAGTTTTAAATCGCATCCTGCAAAGTGGTTGTCAGGCTAAAAATTCTGACTGCTCGCCTTAATTTTCTTTCGATCATCGTTTGGGACCTGCAAAGTTAGACAGGTTATTGGATGGTATTCTACGAAAAAAGTGAGTTGACCTTCAAAAAACTTCATTTATAGAAAGCTTCGATCATCACAGCATCGCCTAGCTTGTAGCTCCTTATTTTAACGTGGAACTCAACGCTGAATACACTCAACTACACTCTTAAATATGTTCTTTCTAGGGTACCATCACTGCAGGGCCTCGCGTACAGGGTCATAGTTCTCGGGTGTCGATTTCCATACTTTCTTGAAAACTACGTCGTTCGTTGCTTTTGCATTGATTGAATCGAGCCGCCGATATCTGACGTGGTTGCCCACCTTTCATGTAGATTAATGCTTCCGTAAACTACTTTTGGGCTGGTCGTAAGCAGCAACCTAGTCTGCGAGGTGTTCTTGATGCATTGCTTTGAATTCGCCAACTCCGATCTGCGCACTTTCAGAATAAGATGGTACGCTAGCGTACCATCTCGCTCGAAGAAGACTGTGCCTGGCGAAGGCGTCGGGGTAGCCAACTTAAAACGTGGGTAACGCTGGCTTCGAGTACATCGGCGAACTTGAATTCCCCAGTCTGTGGGGCTGGCATGTCCTCTTGTCCATTTTTGTTCTGACCAGTTTCGGTAGAATGCTATCTTTGGTGATGTATTATTTTGCAATTTCCGGCCGGCTCAATCAATCCTAATAAATGCTGTGAAAATTATTTTTTTGTCATTCTGCTCTGTTTCATCTTTTGTATCGGCTACTGTAGTAGTCGTTTGCTTTCAATGTATGTTGAGGCCGGCTTTGCCTTCTAGTTAACTTAAGGTGTCTCGATTCCTCGACAAAGCCCCTTGAGGCAAGAGCGTTTTCGACTGATTGGGTAATGGGTATTATACTTCAGTACCTGTTCGACGTTTATGCCTTCCTGTAATACCTCGATGACGCGAACACTGCATTTTTGATAAGTGCGGGATTCGGAAAAGCTTTTATGGTTGGTATCTCCTTCCCGGTTGTCAACTGAATTCTGCACGATTATGACACTGAGGCCTTTGAATAGCACAATTTGATCCCGTCTGTGGACGACATATATAACCTGGAATCTTCAACCCTTTGCATACTCTACCTCAGTCATGAAATGGTTTAACTTACGGGCATCCCCTTTTCACCCGCGCTTGAGTCTTTTTGATGTGAAAATTGAGTATTTGAACCAAAACTGCCGAGCTTTTAGGAGCCGTAATTTTCGTGAGCGGGCGATAACCGAGCGTATCGTGAACTGTATAAGTTGGAATTTTTTGTCCCATGGACCATTTGTGAACACAGTGAAGTCAACTTATCCTACACAACATTTATTTACCGATAAGTATTGCCGAAAAAGCCAACTGAAACTGGGATGGCAATTTCTGGCTTATTAGCCGTCATCGACCAACCATCGGGAATTTACACAAGGTAGATAAGCGTTCACTGATAGGTTACGGGTCTTGATTGTCCCGTTCTGCCTTAGAGTTCACCCTCGAGCTCCGTCAACAGCCGCACAACGGCAAATTTTACAGCCAGAGGAAAATTGTCGACAAAGGATATTAGAACGCAATTCCTGGTTTATTAGTCTTCATTAACCACCCAACTCCGACTATGGCCTGCAAACCGTGACTCTATGAGCTTTTGACTCAAGTGGATGCCTGATTTAAATGCCTTAGCCGTTGTAATGCGCATTTTTTCTGGCGAAATTTAGAATGACAACCGATGTCTCATTTTGGAGACAATCTAAGCAATGGTCACCGATGTTACCACCAATATCAAGAGCTATTGCCGAAGACTTTTACCCGATGTCCTGCTAAGAAAACCGCTTATTGTGATTTTTTTAGTTGTTTGAAATTCGAGCGTTTATATGACCATTG